TACGACACACACACACACACACACACACACACACTATATATATATTATATATATATATATATATATAAATATATATATATATATATATATATGTATATACATATATATATATATATGAGACATATATATATATATATATATACATATTTATTACATAATATATATACACACACACACACAGACAGACAGACAGACACACAGACATACATACACACAGACACACACAGACACACACACAAATATATATATAAATTCATACATATGTACCTATCTATCCATTTATCTAAACACAATTTTATATAGATACAAACATTAAAATCCAATACTTCCCGATAATACATACAGTAGCCAACACCACACACACACTAAACACACACACACGTGTATATCTATGCGCATAAGAACATACCGAATAAGACAGATCACAGACACACACCTGCAGATCCATGAGAATGAGATGGTAGTCGCCGTTGTGTGGACTGGCCTTTGCGCCTGTGATGATGTCCACCGCCTCTCGTCCGGTCATAGCCACAGTGTACGGTGTCTGTGTGATAAGCAACGCAATGGCTGTGAGTGTACGAGGCACAGGCCACCTCAGCCGTTGGGGGACTCACAGGTCAACAGACTATGCATAGACACAGCATGGCTACACATCACACTCACTCGTTTGTATGGTCACACCATGTGGCTGAATATATAAAGCTTGAAATAAACCTTGCACGCTCATACGTTAACATAACAGGTGCGATGTGAAAGGCACTATACACTGGGCAGAAGTAAATGTGAAGAAGTGCCGCCTATAGCACAACAGGATACAAACGACACCACCTCCGCTCATGATGGTCACACACACCACACACAAAGCACACAGCACTACACGCACCCATCCACCACAGCACACACATAACACACAACACAACACACAACACAGCTCATATGTTTCTTATCATCTCCATAACATTCGTAATCCATCGTGACACCAATCACACCATGCATTTGGGCGCTGCACAGTCTAACTGACCCATCCCAACACCATCCCACAGGACATAACCCAACACAATCGCACCTGCATGCACACTTAGCAATGCCCACCCACCCACCACCAGAAGTAAACCCTAAAACCATACGACAACCCTAAAATCACAAGATAACACAAAAACCATACGACAACCCTAAAACCATAAGACAACACTAAAACCATTAGACAACCTCAAAACCACAGACAACCCTAAAACCATTAGGCAACACTAAAATCATAAAATACAGCCGCACCACCTCGCAAGCAAACTCACACAACACCCAACACACAGGCAATCACTCAATCACCACAGAACCCTACAACCCAAATACCCCAAATGTCTAAGGCCGAGTCGCAATGACCCCGAGAGACACCCACACAACAACACAGTTGGCCCCCCTACTCACCCCTAGGCGTTCGAGAAAGGCCGACGCCACTTTTATGTTGATCTTGTTGTCCTCACAAAGCAGCACGTTGAAGCCTCGTGGGAAAACCCGCTCGTTATTCGGCGCGGCTGTGGTTGGCGCGGCGGTTTGCGTTGCCATAGTTACGGCTTGCGTCTATTTTTAGACACAAGGGGATTGGGAAAAGGGCAATATTTTAATATCCGGCGTGAAAGGAATAGTGTAGCCACATGCAGCGGGTGGTCTGTTCCCTCATGGCTGTTACAACACGCAACGCTCCACACTGTCGTCTCCTCCGCCCAGGCCTTATGTAGTGTCTCATAGACGATGCATGCACACCCATTGCCATACGCGCGCACACACACACACACACACACGGCTGACGGAAGATACACTAACAAGCACTCGCACCACTAGCAAGCTCACACAAAGACAGTGCCACAGCTCAGCATATCTGTTCATGTGCACGCGTGTTCAGATTTTGTCTCTCTCTCACACACACACACGCAGCGAATGCAGACTGATTGGAAGGACTCAAAAGCAGTGGTTGTGGGTGGCCTCAGACCAACCCGATGAGCGCACGAAGTTCAGATATAGTATCTTCACTTAATACGCCACGTATGTATGTATGTATATATGTATGTATGTATGTATGTATGTATGTATGTATGTACGTACGTATGTATGTATGTATGTAAGTATGTAATCATATCTGAATGTATGTATGTAATTATATAGTATGTGTGTATGTATGTGTGCATATAATTACCTATGTTTTAGCCACAGATCACAACCAAATCTCGAGCGAGCCTACACCTCCAAGCACAGGCAACACACATACATCTATACGCCTGCAACAACGACAACCAACACAACAGCACACATACACGCACGTCCAACGTTCTATCTCTGCACCATAACGTTACCGTCGTCGGTATACTAGTTGACTTGTACGCCATGGTGTGGTTAAACTCAAACGCAGGTGTAGCAGGGCTTGACCCGTCGAGGTCAGTCGACAGTGGCTGTGAGTCCATTCGCTGTGGATGCACCTCCACTAACCTACGCATGGGCTGGGCAATGGGGTCGTTGTGCACTGTGTTGAGCACATCAACAAACGACCGATACCTACTCAAGGGAAGAGGGAAGGAGGAAGGAGGAAAGGGCAGGGGTGGGGTGTTAAGGCGTGGTATCATACGATGACACATGCAGGTGTGCGTGTGTAGTGTACACACACACACACACACACACACACACACACACACACACACACACACACACACACACACAC